TTCTGCATAGTCGAACCATCCTCTATCTTCATTTATATTGTGTGTGAATGGTTAAAGCATTTTTTGTTTATTCACTTACTTTGTCTGTGAGAATTTATTTTGTCTGTACGTAGATAACTTACCTATAACAAGTTACCAAAATGAGTATAGATAACAATTTAGTTTTTCAATTAACTTGTAACATGTATTAATCAGAGAACTTCAATTCCTTCCACAAAATCCAAAATCGCTTTCTTAATACAAAAGATATACTTTGAAAACACAAACAACTCTCATTGCATTATCATTGTAAATACAAGAAGATTAACTTTACAATATAACTAATTGTAAGAATGAAGTATTCGGCTATTCATTGCTTAAATCTCTCATTCTTGACTTTCTGGATCCATTGTATGTCATAATTTGCTTTATCACATGCCTTGATCAAACATATACAGAAGGAGACTTATCATCTTCATTATGGAGGCTCATCATCACCATCAAACTATTAGAAATAGATCAAAACTCTTTTGTCATCGTTCAAAAGTATGGTTTAATAGATGTAGTGAATAAATTAAAATAAATCAGTTTAAGTCAACACAAACATTATGAATTTAGTCTATCAAAACAGAAAGTGCAAATTAAAACAATTCAACCTAATATGTTAAGGATCCTTTTTTGAATCAACATCAAAGCATTTAAATTTAAGTGACTGCACTAGTCTGGCATTTCAAAATACAAAAAAAAAACAAAAACTAGTGTTGGCGGAATACAATTTCAACTATAGTCTATGTCATTATGAATTTGGAGTGTTGCATTATATCATGCTTCTTCCCTACGGTGCTTGATGCATTTAGAAAACCTAGTAATATAGGCAAATATTTTCTCTTAAACAATTCCATAAATAACACAGCATACTAAAAAATCATTCAAAAAACTAGTTATACTTAACTTAAAATGACAAAAATTCTCTTGAATATCACTGTGTACGTTTGTAGTGTGAAGGGATTCATCATGATAGTAACAACACTACGAACTATCTCCCATTAAGCAACATTGTTTTACAAAATTCATTAAGCATATCACATTAACAGAGAAGGAGAGGGAAAAATTACATTGAAACAATGCATTCTTTTTACATAGAAAAAATACAATTTCCATCATAACAAACAAAACAAGACAACCACATGTAAAATTTGCACCTTCAAGAAACTAACTTTCAATATTGATCATCCGATTGTCAACAATAAGGCACTAAACTTGTGAGGGATACAATAATTACTAAGCATATGGATGGACTATAATCACTATATTAAGCATCTCCGAAAAACCTCTACTTGTAACGGTTATTTTACCGGACACTGTTTGTATGAGTCTCACCAACATCTTACACTATAAATTCATGTTAAGAGATATCCACCAAAAGGGTAACATTTAAATTCATGTTTGTATTAAGCATCTTACACTGTTATTATATCATGCTTCTTCACTAGCATCATGTTAAAAAAACATTAAATTCACTAAAGTTTGATAATGGAATAACTTTATCTAAATTACAAGTACAAAACTAAAGTCTAAAACTAAATTTAAATGTTACCCTTCTGGTGGATATCTCTTACTGCAGATAGAGCCTCCTAGATCATGTTTTAGGACCAAAAAATTGAATTTTATAAATGCAAAAAATTACTTGTACGCATGGGGTAGTTTAATTTGTAGAACAAAATGAAATCAACCAAATAATGTGAAGAAGGTTCTTCAGACAAAGCATTAACTGAGAGTTTGAAAAAAATAAGCAATTTACTAAATCCCTTTCGGATTTAGTAAAGGGATTCAGCATGATAGTAACAACACTACGAACTATCTCCCATTAAGCAACATTGTTTTACAAAATTACTATATGTACGCACCCATGTAATCGAGAGTCTAGTCCAGAAGCTGCTACAATTGTGACTTTATTGATTGGAAATTCTTGTTCGAGTGTCATAAATCGACTGTCATCCTCGTCGTCTGCGTTGATTCTTGCTGCAACCACACCGTTCACGTTGGACTCGAACTTGAAGGCAGATTCGATTATGAAGGTGGAGGTAAGGAAGACAAGTGACGATAGAAAATGTTAAGGTCGATTGGATTAGGGATTTGGGAAGGGAGACAGAAACGAAAGAGAGAAAGGAGAAAAGAAAAGAAAATTTTATCCGGGAGGCTCTTGGTGCAAAGGGGGGGAACGAACTATGAAGAGAGAGAAGGAAAGGGCGGATGGTGAGATGGTTAATTTGAGGGAAAGGGGTAATTTTTTGGGGTATATATAGTGTGTACAAAAGTGTGTATATATGTGTGTACAAATAGCAAAATTGTAATTCCAAATGCCAAGTTTTTTTGGAACTAAAGGACCCACAAAAAGATATCTTTATTTCTATGGAAACTAAAAGGGTCTGTTTGCAACAGCTTCTACTTTTAAAAAAGTGCTTTTTTTAATGAAATGAGGAGAAATGATTAAATAAAAGTTGATAGTGTTTGAGAAAAAAGTGATTTTGAAAAGTAAAAGTTGATAGTGTTTGGTAAAATAAGTTATTTTTGTGTAATATAAAAAATAAAATCATTTTTGACGCGAAAACCGAGAAAAATAAAAAAAAAGGTTGGTTTGCAACCACTTAAAAAAAGCACTTCTCAGCTTTTGGATTTAAAAAAGCACTTCTTTTATCAAACGCTACAACTTTTATTTTTCTCGGCTTTCGCGTCAAAAGTGCTTTTACTTTTTATATTACACAAAAAACACTTATTTTACCAAACACTATCAACTTTTACTTTTCAAAATCACTTTTTTCTCAAACACTATCAACTTTTATTCAATGACTTCTCCCCATTTCATTAAAAAAACACTTTTTTTAAAAGTAAAAGTTGTTGCAAACAGACCCTAAACATCTTGATTTTGCCTTTTGACGACAAACTTAATATCTTTGGCATGGCCTTTCAAATGTCCTTTTTACGGTAACTATGATACTATTGACCACTACTTTTTTTTATTTACATTCTCTAAAGCAATCTGGCAATATTTTGAAAATCTTTGCAATTACATTACTACCTGTTACTTTGATTAGAAAGGGTCTATCAATGATCTTAACTACGTCCTTCCAAATATCGGCATCTCTGGAAAACGCGAAACAAATTCCTTTTGAATTTTGATAACAAAACGAATCATGTATCTAAAGCAATTAGTACTATTAAACATAGAAATTTTTTCCATGTCTGTTACAAACCCTTTCAAAGCAAGAACCTAGACAGGCTATACGATAGTATAAGACTTGGACTATAGACTATTACATACACCAAACTAAGAGTTTTTAGAGTAGCAAAATTCTTAGCTATACATAGCATGCCAATCAAAACCACTACTCATTTTTAAACAATTTATTGGTATAGTTTGATGTTGTTAGCTTCTCATATGTTCTGTAGTTTATGTTTTTCCTTTTTATAAGTAGGCATTGGTCTAGCCCGCCTACTTTTGTATCTTTATTTATCTAATAAGTTGGTAGGGTGTTCTCTGACTCCCTCAAGAAAATTTTTGGTTTCTGTTTTCTACCGAGTTTTTAAAAAACAAACAAACCAATAAATAGACAAACAAGGTGTTGAACTTGTTTTTCCTGTCCATGCACCATATATGGTAAATCTATAACCTTATTAATGCACACTCAATGACACAAATCAAATGACATAGATGGGTTAACCTTTAAAAATAAGGAAATTATCATTGACCCTCTTGATGTTTGTTGTATTATCACTCACACCCCTGCACTATAGAAAATATACTCTTATAGGCTTACCCCTTCCCTATTCTTTAATGATCATTAAGTAACTTTATATTTAGAATTAGAGAAAAAATATTGATATAGTTCGGTAACTTTTGATTGTGTCATCTTTTAATGCTCTGATTTTATTTAATCCTAAATCCGATCCAATAACTATAAAATTTGTCCATATTAAAGGCATGTCATTGGAAATCGAACCTAATAAAACAAAATGATAAAAACTAACCTCACTCTAGTTAGTTTGTTTCATGGATTTGGATTTGAAAAATAACTACGTAAAAAAAAAAAAAGACGACTACAACATGCTAAAATTGATATAAAAAAATTGTAACAAACCAACTGAAGTTAACTATAAAGTATACTGTGGGAAATAAATTTAAAATTTGTGGTCTGCCATTGTACATGATTTAACTTTGTGTGGGAAATACTTACTTTAATGATTTACACTATGGGTGGACAAAGTCTTAGTCCCGAGACGAGTCGGTTTTTGAATCGAGATCGGGACCGGAAAATGATGTTCGAGGCCAAGACCGAGACCGGTCGGTGGGAAAGAGGTCTCGGGCCTCACTGTTTAGAATCAAGGATTAGCTGGCCCGGTCCCGGTCCCTTTAATTTTCATTTTTGTTTTTGCATTGAAATCATTGGGGAGCATTTTAAAACAGTTGACGGTTCATTTAAATTTAAAAGCTGAAAAATTATATTAGTGAGGAAGCAGATAGAGGATATAAAAATAAATAAAATTTGGGACCAGACCAAGATCGTATGGGAGATCGGAGCCAGAAATGTAGGCCTTGAGCCTCCATAATTTTTTAAAACCAACCGGTCTGGGTCTGAAACCGACTCAAGCTAAAATATTATTTGGTCGAGGTTTGTGTTACCACTAGCTCACTTGTAAGCATGATAATATTTTGTAAAATATTATTTTATAAGTTATTATTATACGTATGATGATGTCATTTTTTTCTTACACAACCACAACCATACATTTCCACTTTATTCACACTTTCTTAAACTGCGATCCAAGTCAATGTGGGAACAATTTTATGGGATGGAGGGAATACAACATCACTTTTTTTTAATCCCTGAATAGCCACTGGTGGTGAGGAAAGCGCCGGGGAACACTTTCCAAATTTATTAAAAATTTGAAGTTAGAAACAGAGTTCAACAAGTGAAATATAAATAGAAACCATAGAGAAAGTTTAACAACTAAAATTTGCACGCACCCCAACCGTTGTTGCAAGGGATCAGTTGTTATGTCATTTATCAGAAGAAAGAGCGTCTAAAATGAAGATTAGAGATGTGAAACCGAGCACCAAAATATACTCAGTTTTGGTTAATTTCGATTGATTTGTTTCAGTTTTGATCATTTTTTGCACGTTTTGGTCTGCTATTTTCAATTCAGTCATTTTCGAATCCAAAGACATAATTCCAACCATCTACCGTGATGAGTTTTATAAACAATCTTTCTTTTATTCATAAATAAATGTAGTATAATTTTTTATTATTATAAATAAATAATGAAAAATTTGTTTGAAAAATGTTAAAATAATCGGAGTTCCCTTAGAAGGAAACTTGGCCCTGCTTATTTGGATCGGCGACGGGGATTCGAAAATCGAACTGCCCATTATATGTACCGTACTCCATATTAACTGATAGTCTTGTGCTCCAAGTAATACCCACTCTCAAGTCATTCTGATTTTGCCTCACAATTCTATCTAAGAAAAGCGCGGAGCTAAGGCGTTCCTCAGTTCTCCGCTTTCAGGCATGTTCATCCATTCACCCCTTGTTTCTCCAAATCTCTGATCCATTGGTCTATCTGTTCACGTGCGTGAGCATTTCGTGCAGGAAAGAAGCTACGAGTTCTTATTGCTCCGCCTCTCACAGTCTCAGGTGTGTATCAGATTTTTTGGATCCTCTGTTCTACCCGTTTCGTAGTAGTTTTATTCATAATCGATAATGACGTAATGTGTATTTCATTGCGCACATTTGAAAGGATTAAATCTATATTTTCTATTCGGATTCACTTGTCCAGTTCTATGACTTCTATCTTCTCTACTTTTTGTTCTATATGCAATGTGCGCTAAAAACACGGAGTATAACAATGTAGAATCTCATTTTTCGTCATTGTTTCTGTTTTATTGTCTGTCACATCAAGTCAATGCATAGTCAAACCTGACTTTCTTCATGTAAGATCACTTCTACACACACCTGTTTATGATTTACTACGTATTATTATAGATTTCATTATGAGTATTTTAAGTTTTATTTATTCATTTCGATTGTGGATACCGTCATACAGGCATACAGCTTTCTTATCTGGAAAGTGGAAACTATAATATGCTCGGTTCATCCGTCATTTTGTTTTATTGTCTAGCAGTAGCATATTGCAGTCAACACTCAACACAAAGTCAAAACGGACTGGATTGGAAGAGTCAAATTACTTTAGATCATTTAAGTTACTTCGGATTACTTTTAAAATTACTTTTAAGTTCGTTATAGATCTACGGATCTACCAGTATATATAATTTTATATATACGGATCATGTACTTTATTTATACGTTAACTCTTTTTCTATTTATAGTAATATCCGTATATCCTTCCATTTAATTAAAACCAAATTTTATACAGGATCTCATTCGAAGTGCATTAACTTTGTGAAAGTGCATATACAGTGAAACACCGAACACATACATATATGGAGTCTCTCATATTCAGTTTCATGTTAAATCAGACTAATGGTAAAGTTGATTATGCACTGATAATACTTAAATTAGTGTTCGTAGTTACAATTTACATACGTAGTATGTAGAGACTATATGCAAAGTTTTATTGATCCGCAACAACAGGGTCACAGAGACGCCATTCGGTAAAAGACATTGAGATTAAAAAAAATAGTTAAGATAGCCATAAGAATAGTGAGTGAGAAGTTTATTGTAGGACAGGTTGAGGTTAATATATATGCAAAACTATAATTTGTGTTGTCTTGAAAATTCTCAGTGCCTCATATTTTTGTATTTTAAATATGTCAGCATCCAGCGATTTTTTATATGTGAATTAAAACTATAAATAGTGAGTGAGAAGTTTATTGTAGGACAGGTTGAGGTTAATATATATGCAAAACTATAATTTGTGTTGTCTTGAAAATTCTCAGTGCCTCAAATTTTTGTATTTTAAATATGTCAGCATCCGGCGATTTTTTATATGTGTATTAAAACTATAAATATGTCAAGCAAAATGATGCTACTAAATAAAATCATCCATTAGGATGATAACATTCCTCCTGCACTTTGATTTTCCCCAGAGTTTGGTAGCGTTGATTGTTGAATCTTCACTAGTCACCACTGCATGCAAGGAGATTTAAATAGGTTATGGTTCTTCTTTATGTAGGTTGTGTCTCTGATTCTTGCTCTTCCACCTCCTTTTTCTTCTGTGCGTAACTTACTTCAGTTTGATTCATGCCTGCATTTATTCCCGGGTTGCCACTTTTCTCTACCCCAAAAGCACAATATTGATCCCTCAGCTTTCCAGTTCAATATTCATTCACAAACTCACTGCATAGTGCATTCCATTGTCAAGTTCAGTGGTTGTACACTCATCTGGTCCTGTTTCTTTACACTCTGCATCCTGGTCATATATACCTAGCAGTCTTCAATCCATCTTCTGATTTCTTAGGATTCTATTCCGCTGTCTGTCTGGAGAAGATAAAATTATTGCAATCATAGATTTTTAACTTGTTGTATTTCTGTAAGTTTCCTCAGTTCCTGTGTCTGTTCATGTTATCTACTGTTGACAACTGATATATTGCTCTCTCTATCTTGGGACTGTTTGTATGTTTCCACCCAATGCTATGTTGGGATTTTTCTTTGTGCTCTCTGTTGGTTCTTCATTTTCAAAACACTATTGACTATATAGCTTATTATTAAACTTTGATTTGAACTGCTATGCCTAAATGGCTAAATATAATAATGCAAGAACGTTACAGTTTAGTATGTGCATTCACTTTTCTATGTATCCATGGTTCTCTTATGTTTTTTTCTTTGTTTTTGGCTTGGAGTGGTATTCAGAGTGGGAGAGTTTCATAAACCGCCCCATCACCCCATGTTTAAGGTTGAGCATATTAACTTTTTAAGTTGTTGCAGAAGTCTAACAATAATTTTGGATTAAATTTCTTCATGATAATTCCAATACAAGTTTGCCTGTCATTCTTTATAATGTTATCTGAGTAGATTAATGAATATGCACGATCACTGTTTTTTTAATTTGTATTATTTTAAGAACAAACCCTATTTTATCAATAACAAAACAAACTATACAAAGTGAGGGGGACTAGAATACTATATCCAGGTCTAGGACCAACCCCTCAAGAAGGACATACCCTCCGAGAATACATCAAGGGAGGTCTTGACCAAAGCCACTAAAGGGTCCAAGGCAGAAGATAAAACTAGCAGCAATAGAAATGCTGAACACGAAATATCCAGCCAAAGAACTAACAAAGTGATAGAAGAAAAAGACTTTTCTAACTTACCCTGCTAGTCCAAAATTTTTCATACTACCAGCAACTAGACAATGTCAACCACTAAACCTGTATATAATAAACAAAGTCTATATTTTTCTAGTGTATGGTAGTCCTAGTGTATATAAATTTTTCCATACTACCAGCAACTGGAACTCCCAATTGCCTTCTTCTGTATCACATCATCAGTATAGTTAAAGTTTTTTGTTTTAACCAGTTCCAATAATGATTTTCCGCCTGCCTTTCTCATGCACTCATGACCGTATTTTTGGATATAAACTTTGCAGATATGGAAGAAAAAATAGACAAATTGATTGATGATGTCGCTGCACTCCACGATGCACAAAAGGAGACACAATTGATGATCATTGATAATTTTTCTTCTGTAAAGGAAACATTAGGAAGACGTGCTAGTCTTCAAAATCACCCAAGTGCTAATGAGGACGATCTAGATGTATGTTATTAGTGAGTTTGTTTTCTATACTAACTTTGGAAGTTACACAACTTTATTTGATTGATATTTTGTTATTATTGTTATGGAAAACAGTTCTCTGTATATGGGTACAAGTTCGTGGATGTTTCTGGGAGTGGAATTAGTCCCGTTTATAAGGTCACAGATTCAGTCACCGGAACGGAGTTTGCTATCAAAGCAATAAGCTTGGAAGATGAAGAAATACCCTCCACATTGGCTAGAGAGATTTCGTTTATGTTTGATCTGCAGCATCCGAATATTGTGAGGTATAATATACTTGAATTCACTGATTTGAATGAATTTGCTTGAGAGAAATTACTCTCAACTGATCTTTATTTGTAATAAGGTTCATAATTACAATGAAAAAATCATATGAATTTATGCGGGACATAGAGATTTCCCTATTTACATCAATTAGTTACTAAAATCAGAAAGGAAATCACTTAAAATCATATCAAATCTCAACACTCTGTTAAGGACTTGAGTGTAAGGCCTTGTCTAAGGCCTCAAACAGGATCTCAGAAGAGAAGATGAGCCGATTGAGAATAGAGAATAATTATCACACTATTGAGCCAATTGAAAATATTTTAATTTTCAGATTATCGGACACGATAGAGAATAATTATGTAATTAATCTTTGCCGACCTAGTCAAGACACATCAAAATTAATTCTTCCCAAAAAGTACTTTATTAATCAATATTACAAGAGTCCAAATAGGAAGCATAAGGATAATAGGATGTTTCCTAACTGAATAAGGAAATACCTATGAATCTCAGATAACTAGGATTTAATTAATTAAATGTTGTCAGCTTTCCTAACTGAATAACTAAGTAACTATGAATCTGAAATAACTAAGGACATGTTTACTTTGCCGTTTAATTCACCGTTAGGTTATTAGGAAGCCTGAAGTAAACGTTCCTGACCGGGTAAATGCGCGCTTACTAACCAATCAGGCCATTTAATCGACGTTTGTTAAACGCCTCCCCCCCATGTTTTATTAGCCGGCGACTTAAGCAGTTTCATTTTGACCGTCTTGCCCTTATTTTGTAGCCTTGCAGATTTCTTATTACATCTAACCCTAATAATTAACACCACGCCCTATTGATTTCTACGTTTCTGCCGACCTTCGTTGTCCTCCAGAATTTCTTTGACACAAAGAAAAACTCTCCTTACTTAGGTACAAGGCGTCTAAGACCAACGGACTTTTCCAATGTCTCCAATTTCTGCCGACCTTCTTCAAAGAGGTGGAAGAGCAACAAAGAGGTCCTGTTTTTGCTCCCTGTGATTTCTTGTGCAAAGACATAAGAATTTGTACAGTAGCAATGTATATATCTATATATACAAATTCGAATTGAGATGGTGGACTTGCGAGATTTATTCGTTAATGGAGATGAGAAACGGTTGGGTTGCTTCTGGCGAGATAGAATGATGGATGACATAGGTAGGACTTAAGGCTATTCTTGACATTTTGTATACAATACATATTTTAAACCAAATAAAGTAAACACGTCCTTAATAAGCATCTCTTAGTAAGCAATTGCTTACTAACCCATGTTTTACTAAACACCGTTAGTAAACAACGAAGTAAACATGTCCTAAGATCTAATTAATTAAATGATGCCAACTTTCCTTGGCCTCCTGGTCAGCCATGTAAACCATCCTGATCTTTCTCGATTGACCCAACTAAATTTCCTAAACCTTTTCTGTCATGACTTTGTTGATATACTTGTCCATAGAATGGATCCATAACACACTCTCCCTCAAGCTGATGCATAGATATCTTATGCATCAAGTTTGTCACAAATATATCTTATCCTCGGAGTCTTGGACCCCAAAGTGACTTAGTGAGAAAATCAGGTTAACTGATAATTTGAACTGACAAAGGATGTGAAGATTTGTCCAGAAATGACCTTTTCACGGATAAAATGACAAATCGATTTCCATATGTTTTGTTCGTTCATGGAAGACGGGGTTAGAAGTGATGTATAAAGCTGCCTGATTATCACAAATCAGTTTCATAGGCTTCAGTTTGCAAAACTTTAAGTCAGACAATAACTGCTTCAGTCATGTAAGTTCACAAGTAGTAATAGCCATGGCTCGGTAATCTGCTTCGGCACTTGATCTAGCAACAACACTCTGTTTCTTGCTCTTTCCAAGAGATTAGATTTCCAATGATGAGAACACAGTAGCCTGAAGTTGATCTCCTATCATTTGGACAGCCGACCCGATCCACATTTGAATATTCAGTAATATTGTCATAACCCCAGTTCGCATAAAGCTGTCATCTTCGAAGTGAACCTTTATGTACCTTAGGATTTGAACAACTGCATCTCAATGACTATCACATGGCGTGTTGAGGAACTGACTAACCACGCTCACAGCAAATAAGATGTCTGATCTAGTCATAGTGAGATAATTTAACTTCCCCACAAGTCGTTGATACCGTCCGGGACCGGAGATAGGCTCCCCCTGATCCGGCAAAAATCAAACATTTGGATCAATTGTAGTACCAATTGGCTTACAATCTGCCATCCCGGTTTCCCTCACAATATCAAGAGCATATTTTCTTTGAGATATGGTATTGCCGGTTTTGGATTGAGCTACCTCAAGTCCAAGAAAGTAACGAAGTCATCTCAAGTCTTTTATTTGAAATTGTTGGGACAAGTATAGTTTAAGATTCTTTATGCCATCATGATCATCCCCTGTTATTGCAACATCATCAACATAAACAACAAGGTAAGTAGATTGATTAGATAAAGATCTTTTATAAAGCACAGTGTAAAATACAGTGTGGTCTGCTTTGCATTGAATCATCTCAAATTGTTTGAGAGTCGCACTGAATCTGGCAAACCACACTCGTGACGATGGTTTAAGACTATCTCGGGATGGTTGGATGGACTAAAATAAAAGTAGAAAATGGGTAATTTTTTATGCGCACTATGTAAGGTACATAGTTTTGTATGATATTAAGGTTTTTCATTATTTGCAGTGCTTATTCTGGTTAATGTTGTCGTGTGACAGGTTGCATCGTACTTTTATGCACGGACGGATTTTCTGTTTGGTCATGGAGTTCATGGAGCATACTCTGCAGGAGTGGATTTTGTATGGAAAGTGTCATGATGTGGATGCGTTAAAAGTAAGTAGTAATAATTATGTTAACTAAAGATATTACTGTGTAGTAGTATAATTGAAAGGTCTTTTGATTATAGGTATAGTTCTAGCTTTGGTCTCGACTATAAAGTGGTGTATTAGCCTCATTCCTAGTTTCACACCATTATCGAGCCCATACGTCTGCTTTGTAATCAGATGAATGGGAAATACTAGATCCAAATTAAAATCTCCCACAATCTCTCCTAAATACACGATTAATTACAGAACTTCACTTCTTCATGGCGTTCGTCAAGCATTTAGAAGCTATTTTACCTGGTAAACAAAAGAAATGTATTGCTGCTATCTTACAAGCACAGAAACTCTTTAGGAATCTGACAGGGAGTAAAAGGCAAGGGGAAGAGTAATTAAGAAAGAAGATGTTTTATTAAACCGAAATAAAAATAAAGATACAAACATGCAGAAGGTAGAAACTAGAAAGTAAAGAGCATGAAATGCCATATTTCTCAGGCCCCACCAAGACTAGCTTGCCCAATGATAAGTGAAGCCATTATGTATATCTACAGCGATTTTAAATAAGGTAAAAAAGTAATTAGTAATCTGCTATTCCGGATAAGAGTAGTTTGCTATAGGGCTGTAGAATTGAGTAGCCAAGTATTCAGATTAGATCAAACTTATTCGATTTGGATTTGATTCAATCCTATGTTATGTTGCATTTCGATTTGTAAAAGTATTCAATACTATTTGAGTTCGATTCAAGTATTAGTCTAGTAATGTAAGGGTTTGCGATTCATGAGTGATGAGAAAAAACTTAAGGCTTCAATTGTAATTATTACATGCTAAAATCACTGAAAGTTTCATTGAAAAGAAAAGAGATTAGTTAATATACTCATCCGTACATAGACATAACAATAGCAAAATACTTATTTTCATACATAGAGAATAGAGCATTACAAACATGCATATAAGTGAAATGAGATTAAGGTTTAAACCTTTTACATGTGCATTTGAAATTTGAAAAAAAAACATCGTAATGCCAAATCTGATGATTATATAAGTACTTTTTCTTATTCAAATTGAAAACTTTAAATTTGAATCTCTTGTAGTTCAGACTTTGAACAATCAGATAAGGGCGCATTTGTTTACACCTGTAATTTGCTCCATAACTAGGAACTTAAAACATACATTGCAACAGAAACACACATCTAGTGGTTCTGACTTTTCCCTTTTAAACTCACGTTTGCAACTTTAAGGTTCAGGGGAAGTGATAATTTTTTAGTCTGAGTTCCTAAATACACAACCGGTCTGTCTAGGATTTCCTTCTCATATAATTGGCAGCGGAATGGGTTAGGTGACGGGGTATGTCTAGAGAGGATGCCAATTTACATTTTATGTACATGGCTGACATTATAACATATAAGATTGATAATGGTAGAGTTTAATATTTAGAAGACTCTTGTAAGTTAGGGTTCAATAGTTATGATTGATTATAAAGTTAAGAACTAAATGTGAAAGTATCCATATTGCTTAAGTTACTCTGGTAAGTTTGTTAATAAGACTATATTTGTTTAGGGATTGTTGAGGCAGATTATTTCTGCCCTGGCTTATCTACACAGACATTCTATCATCCATCGTGATATAAAGCCAGAGAACATCCTCATAGATGGTCAGACCCTTAAGTTAGCTGATTTTGGCTCCGCACGAGGTTGGTACGATGGTGTACGACTTACCCCTCAGGTAAAATTTAAATCAACTGCACTGTTATTAGCTGTCATTTGTAGGGACATGATGTGAACGAGAATCATCGGTAGAATTCGTTGCCCAATCTTAAATAGCTAAAAAAAATCCAATATTATTAATGCCTGGTTCGAACAAGCTTAGGCAGGGGTTTATATAAAACCCTAACATCTAAAACTGAATAGGAAACTAACTCCTAGTAAGAAACATAAAAGGAGTCCTAATGAAATCATACTAGGAAACTAAATAAAATAGGAAACCTCTTATTCTAATAAGAATAGAAGTTCTAATTCAAACATACTAGGAAACAAAATAAAAGGAATAATTAAAAGTAATTAATTAAAATAACTAGAGCCAGCCCAAGAAGGTGGGCTCAAGCCCGTCCCCGCCTACGGTAGACCAACAAGGGCATGGGGCTCGGACCCACTTCCTCCGCCCCTCCTCTCAGTTCTTCTTGCTTTCTATCAACTTCCTCCTCCTTCGAAAGAACCTTGTCCTCAAGGTTGAAATCTGGAAACTGGTTCACAAAACTCTCCTTGTTCATCCAAGTAGCATCATCATCGAACTGCCCCACCCATTTGACCAACAAATCTTCCATATCTACCAACACCTTTTCCGGCTCAAACACCGGCCCCACCGGTTGCTCCAAACTTTCTGGCAGCTCACTCTCTATCGGGTCGTCACCCACCATCTCCCTTAGTTGTGTCACATGGAACACGGGGTGTATGCGACTGGTGGGAGGTAAATCCAGCCAATATTGTGCCGGTCCTATTCGTGCCTCCACCAAGAATGACCCATAAAATCTGGGTCATAGCTTATGGTAAGGTTGGCGAAACACCGTAGACTGTTAATGCGGTCTAACCTTCAGAAATACCTTATCCCCCACTTGAAAATTTACCTCCCGGCGATGTTTATTCGCCTGTGTAATCATGCCTTGTTGTGACTTTGCTAAGTTGTCCTTCAAACGAGTCATCATGAGCTCACGGCTGCCCAAAGCTACAACCACTTTACTCTCGCCGGGCAGGAACCGCCAAATGGTAGGAGGCCGCCTTCCATAAACAACTTCGAATGGGGACACCCGGGCTGCTGTTTGAAAAGCAGTATTGTATCAATACTCAGCAATGTCCCCGAACCTCATGGACCGAACGAGGCTGAGGCCACTTCACCACTGCGCTGACTTTAGCCCGCTGACTTTTTTCGGGTCCATTGTCACCCCGGCCTGTGAAATAATATGCCCCAAGTACTCGATCTCAATACGCCCAAAAGCACACTTTTTCTTATTGGCTCTAAAGTGATTGTCTTCCGGGAGACCTAATATTAAGCTCAAGTGTTCTCGATGATTTGCCCAAGACTGACTGTATATCAAAATGTCGTCGAAGAAAACTAATACAAACTTTCGTAGGTATGGTTAATATAGATGATTCATTGCTGACTGGAATGTCACTGGGGCATTTGTCAATCCGAAGGGCACAACCAAAAACTCGTAGTGTCCGCTGTGAGTTCGAAAGGCCGTCTTGTGGATGTCGGGTTCCGCCACCCTGGTTTGATGCTAACCGGAGTGCAAATCGATCTTGGAGATCACGATTGCCCCAACCAATTCATCTAGCATCTCTCGTATCACTGGAGTCGGGTATTTGTCAGGCACTGTGGACTTGTTAAGCTCCCGATAGTCCACATAAAAACGGCAGCTCGTAGCATTTCATCTTCTAATCTTTCAATCTCATCTTTTTGCACGCGGCCGTATTTGTTGGGCCGAACTGACACAGGTTTCGACCCCAGAACCAACTCTATTCAATGATCTATCAACCGTCGAGGGGGCTGTCCCTGTGGCTCCTCAAACAGCTCGGTATGCTGTCCAAGAAGGCCATCTAACGCTCCTGCATCTGCCTTGGGGATTTTGGCGGGTTCGCGGACTAGGATGACCGCACAAAATTCCACTTCAGTGGTCTTGATTAGGCTTCGGAGGCTGACCAAGTTTCTGGACAGTGTTGGATCACCCCTTAGCTCTACTCGTCTACCACCCAACTCAAATTCCATTGTTCATTTCTTCCAGTTCGTCCGGACTTCTCCCAAAGTGGCTAGCCAATCGACACCCAGAATGATGTCAACCCCAGCTAAGGCAAACACTAAACAATCTACCATAACCGCACACCTCGGTAATGAGATAGGAAGTTGTCTACACACCCCCTCTGACTCCTGCCTATGTCCATCTCCCAATCACACCCCGAACAGCACTGGATTTGTTCCTGTGGGTGGCCCATTAGCCTTAGAAAATATTCCACTTGACCCCTTTATGCTGCCACCACTCATGGTCGTGCTGGTAACCCCACTTGGTCGCGTAAAACTGCCCAGACGCGGTCCCGTATTGCAGGACTGGCTCCCCCGGCTTCCATTCAGGAAGGCCATATTGTCCTCAATATCTCTGGCCAATTCCATTGCAATTTCCAGACTGTTTGGCCGCAACAATCGTAAGGATCCCCGAATCAGCCCCTTCAACCTATTCATGAGATATCCTAGATAATGATCATCAGACAACCCTGGGATTTGACTTGCTAGTTGAACAAAAATTGAGATGTACTCCTCCACCATCCAAGTTTAATGTAAAACCCTTCCATCCAAAACTGAATCAGAAACTAACTTCATAATTAAATCATTAAATCATACTAGAAAATAAAATAAAATAGGAAACCTCTAATTCTAATAAGAATAGAAGTTCTAATTAAACCATACCAGAAAACAAGATAAAAGGAATTATAAAATTCCTTTATTAAAATAACTAGAGCCATCCCAAGAAGGTGGGCTCAATCCTGTCCCCGCCTACGGTAGACCAACAAGGGTCTGGGGCTGGGACCCACTTCTTTCGCCTCTCCCCTCATTTCTTCTTGCTCTCTATCAAGACACCACGTAGCTTCTGTTTTTAGTAAGCTCGTACTTAGAAAATGCACAACATAAGGCATAAACTACCTAGAAAATCATTGGTCTCTCACCAATGCTGGTAAGGCAGCCCTTCAAAACTTTATTATATCTTAAAGTATTTAGAGGAAGTAACTTGTTTTTTATAGCTCAATATGTTTTTGAAAGCTACCGAAAAACTAATCCCGGAATTTGTGTTGTAAACCTATCACAGGTGACGACGCTCCAGTTCAGAGCACCTGAGATGCTTCTGGGTAGCACCACATACACGTCGGCAGTTGATATGTGGTCTGTCGGCTGTGTATTTGTGGAGATGCTAACCACAAAATCTGCATTTGATGAAGGAACGGAAGAAGAAGTAGTATGCCAAATATTCAAGTAAATTCTAATATACACATATTTATTTATATTAATTAATTAATTAATTAAATAAATAAATAATTAAATAATTAATTAATTAATTAATTAATTTTATTTATTAATTTATTAATTTTATTTATTTATTTATTTATTTATTTATATCACCATTATTGTCTAAAGATATATTTTAATATTGTTCCCGTTTCCTTGTGTTGTTATTTAGAAAACTAGGTGTGCCGGATGAAGCTACATGGCCGGGGGTGTCCTCATTTCCGAAGTTTCCTCGGGGATTGCCATTATTTGATAGAGAGGCAAAGTTCTAATATACATATATATCTTTACTATTTAACCCCCTCATTTCTGTCAGTGTGCTTTTTGTTCTTCAAGGTTTAGACAAATAGAGAATCTCACCACACCTGTGTGAGGTTCCAAATTGCAAAACTCTGTTTTTCTACTGGCTCAGATTTCTCAGTGCGCTCTGTCTGCAATGTCTGTCATTTGTTTGTCAGCATATTGGTGATGACATTTGATAAGCCATAATATAGTTTAATAATGGGAAAATCGCACTTTTAGTCCCTGTAATAGTCACCATATTGAAATGTCAGACCCGTATTCCCAAGTTTGTAAATGTCACCCTTCAATTGTCCAAATCGTGGTAAATGTGGTCCTTTAGGGGTGAAATGTACAATGTGGGCGAGGAGTACATTTCACCCCTAAAAGGACCACATTTACATCAATTTGGACAATTGAGGGGTGACATTTACAAACTTGATAATACAAGGCTGACATTTCAATATGGTGCCTATTTGAGGGACTAAAAGTGCGATTTTCCCTTTAATAATATCATACAGATTTACAATGGACAGGCATTTGATTTTAATCAGTACATTATATTATGTTCCATTACGGCTTACCAAACGTTTCCTGAAGATTTCAACGATTGGGTTTTCTGAAAACGCTTAAGGGTACGGGTTAAGTACTTAAGTATAGGGCCCCCATTTGGAAATTGGAAAATGTCAGAGAAAGAAAATAGGGAGGACAATATAAAGGTAGTATGGAAGGAAGAAAACAAGGGGGAGATAAATCTTCAATATTTGTTCAAACTCTTTTTATTAAGTAATCAATTTACTTGCTTGTTCCTCTTACACACGAAGTCAAAACTAAAAAATTTAAACATGAATTGTGGAAAGCTCTATTGAACATACCGTTATAATCTCCACTTCATTATTGATCAGTTCCATCTTCTATGTGCTTGGTTTTTATTGTTCTGTTCTTTGATGCATATTTCTTCTACAAAATGTTAGGGACTCGAAGCTGAAGAGATGCTATCCCCGGATGGAATAGATTTTTTAAAGGCAAGTCTGATTTATATGATTTATTCCTTCAAATGGTTGAAACTGATATCATATTATTCGTGTTATTTCAGAGGCTGTTATGTTTGAATCCAAATGAGAGGATTACTGCCGAGGATGCCCTTAAACATCCTTATCTCATTGATAGGTCACCTGATCCGGAGAACAATTAGTTCTTATTAGTGCGCTTCAAACTTCAGTGGTGTTTTTCTGTTGAACATATACTAACGTGTGTGGTCAAGACAAGTCCTTTTTGTCTTAGCTTTTGTTTCCAACACTGGACTCTTTCTAGTCTCAGACTTGATCAGACTTTCATAGTTATAAAATACCCATAAATCATACATTATCAAATCAAATCAGACCAGACCAACAATTTAATATTCTAAACTCTTTTATACTTCGTACTTTTTTAATGAAATTGTGAAAGAAAAAAGAAGAATATAATAAAATGTCTAAAACATTTGCTATGTTAGAAAAATATCTTGAACTTTGTGAAATATGTTAATATGTTTTTTTTAAAAAAATATGTTAATATGTTAAAAGAGGTCTTATATAATATTTTGAAAGGAAAATTGTTAAATAGACCCTCCTACTATATAAAAAAAGTTAATTAAGCTCCCAACTAAAAAAACACTCAATTATGCTCATGAACTTTGAAAAAAAATAGTCAAATGAACCATTTAGCTTGAGGTCCGGTTCTCCGGTCACTCTAGTGACATGGCAACCAATCTCTCAATTTTTAATTCTTTTGTTTTTTTTTTTTCTTTTTGTCTATTTTTTCTTCTCTCCCCTTCTTTTCTTCCCCAACAGAGGTATTTGGACGATCAGTCATGGAATCCAGATGAAGACGAAGCTGGTCACCGACGATCAGCCAAGTCGCCGACGGTGAAAGAGCCATCACAATACTCCATCCCGTACTAATACTTTTTTTCGCTATTTAATTTGCAAAGGGACGAGTCATAGGAGAGGATAATTTTGTGAGTCTGACGGGACCACAGTAAAAGGAAGTCAAGGTCCTGGACCACTTGGAATCGAAAATGAGGTCTGTTTGATTGTAGCAGCGCGTTCTTGCAAAGCTTGCACTGAAATACTAAATCCAGACGGAGACGTTGGTCATTGGTGTAGGTCCGGATAATCTTTTTCACTACGCCGTCGGGCATTGCTCCGGTCTTTCGATTGTTCCGCCGCCGACAACGGTGGGAAAAGTTGAAAATCTACGCTGCCGAGCCGCCTTCCTTGCTGGAGTTTCTCACTTGGGAGAAGTAGAAAGAAAATCATGGAGTAAGACGGGAAAAAGAAGAGAACGAAACGAAAAAGCTTAGAAGAAGAAACCCAAACAGATCAATAAGACATCCAATTCGTATGACAGGGAGGAAGAACAAAGAAGAAGGATGTGGGGCTGGGGAATAAAGAAGAAGAAAGATGGGGCGGAGGAAAAAAGGGAAGATAGAAGGGATCTAGAATGAAAAAGAAAAAGAAAATTAAAAGAATTAAAAATTCAGACGTGGATCAGCTCAAAAACCGGATAACCGAACGACGAACGTTAACCGGATAAATTACACATTTGATTATTTTTTAAAAGTTCGGGGGCAAAATTGGGTGTTTTTTAGTTGGGATGTTTAATTGATTTTTTTGATATAGTAGAGGTGCTCCTATTTGACAGTTTTCTCTATTTTGAAATACGTACAATTGATTATACTCGTATATTTGTATGGTTAGGAGCATTTTGGTCATTTTTTTATTGATTTGACTAATATTTTGCTTGAGTTGGATTTTCATTTCACTCTTTATCCCTAACAAGCATAATACTCAGTACAAAACACCACTAATCATACATAGTTGCTTTTTTAGGATTAGCTTGGATCAGAGTTTAAGAAAGTGGAAATGATGTGGAAATGTATGGTTGTGATTGTGTAAAGAAAAGGTAAATGAATGTGAGTCACATAAAACTTTCTAAAAGAGGAAATGTGAACTGTTTTTTGGGACGACCCAAAAGTAAACCGGGAACTATTTTTGCGGGACAGAGGTAATATCTTTCTTATATTCATATACCAATAACCCATTTGTACTCCATATAAAAACCTCATTTTCTTATTTTATTTCTTTTCCCTCTTTTACTCTTCCTCTTTCCTTTTCTCTATTGCGCCTCTATCATTACCGTAGACCTCATTCCCCCTTTCTCTCTTTTTTCTTCGTTTCAAGAGCTCCTCCCACCTTTGAAGGTCTTAATCAACATAAAGAATTATGAGCAACCACAAATTCAACATATTCCCCCGAGACACACAAAATTACGAAATAAAATATTACCTCATTAACAAGGTCTTGGGGGAAATAGGTTGAATCTGTGGTTGCTCATAATTCTGTATGTTGATTAAGAACTTCAAAGGTGGAAGGAGCTCTTGAATTGAAGAAAAAGAAAGGGGGAATGAGGTATACCGTAAGTCGGTAATGAAAGGCGCAAGAGAGGAAAGGAAAATGGGGGAGTAAAAGAGGGAAAAGAAATAAAGAAAGAAAATGAGATTTTTATATAAGGTACAATGTTGGATGCATATATTGCAATCCAGCCAAGCGTGACTTCTCTTACACTTTTAACTATCCAATTTTGCTACCGTTACTTATGTTAATTCATACGGTTCAATATATAACTTTATGAATAATCGTACTTTCCGATTAGAGCATCTACAACGGTTTTCTAAACACATTGTAACTTTGCTTGCCACATCATTTTTTCTAGCTAATCCATTTTCCAGCAAGGTGGTAGTCCAATGGTTAGTCACAAAGCTTGTCTCTTGAATAGGCCACACAAATCAATCAATTATAAAAATATACATTTTGAGTGAATTGATTTATTAATATAATAAAAATAATTTTTACTTTGAAATTTTTACAAATCGATCAAGTTGTCAAGGAAATTAAACATGACCAAACTTATGGCAGATCGATCAAGTTGATCATCAACTATGACTTTGACCAAAAATTAATCCAACGCCCAACATGGGTGAAAATGCATATTATTATTTAGAAAATAATATATATATATATATATATATATTAAGTAAAAAGTAAAGATTTTTTTTTTTTAACTCCAGGGGGGTCTGGGGGAGGGGGGCTGGGGGAGCCTGGAGTAATCAGGGCTGAAACTCAATCCATTGAGTTTCACACCCTTGTGTGCCTAGCGGGATTCGAACACGAGACCTCTCGCTAGGCACGGTAACCTTGCAACCAGCTAGGCTGGAGTGCTTGGTAAAGAATAATTTTTTTTAACAACACATACATATTAAAATATATCAACTTTAGAATCACTCTGTATATATAATTAACAATAAGAGATTGAAATCACTTTTAATTTGGAACTTGACCGTTGTACTGCTCACTTTACCGTTGCATAATTAACTAATATAATATATCAATTACAAATAAATATAAGAATTTTATCAATTCAGGACTCGAAAGATAGATTATCCATTCATGACCCGAAAAATGAAACATATCAGTATAGGACCTGAATGATGGAAAACTATCAATTTAGGACCTAACGTTTCATAGGTTTTGATTTATTTAATTTTTTTATGAATTCCATTACTAATTTTCTATAAGCTTTTCTTCACAAAAGTTTATTAGTTTAATAAAACTAAATAATATTTAAAAAATTTAAAATAAAAAAAAATATGACAACTTAGATCTTAGATTGATAGTTTTCAATCATTCAGGTCCTAAATTGACAGTTTTTCATCATTTAGGACCTATATCGATGCATTTCATCTTTCATACCCCGAATTGATAATTCGTCTATCTTTTGGGTCCTGAATTGATAAAATTCCTTATTAAATATATTTGGTAGTTACCATTTTAATTCAAGTTTTTCTCCTTTTTAGCAATTAGCTTGTTTTGGCTAATTTGCTTGCCCAAAACTAGAAGCAAAGGTGGGCTAGTAGCTTCAAAATTGCAAGCAAGTCCCTAGGAGCAATCATTGGAGATGCTCTTAGCTGAGCATCCAGGGGTGTACAAGGAGTGTACAAGGAGAAAAGGCTTGTCCTTGCTGTAATTCTGAAACTGACTCCAAATGGCTTAAACACGGACACAAGTATTGCTTTATGGGTCATCATCGTTTCTTAGAGTTAAACCATGAATTCCGTTTTAACGGGGAGGCTTTTAATGGAGAAGAAGAATTAAGAGAGGCACCAGTGTCATAGTGAAAATAATAACTTATTTTTTTCGACTTTAGCTTCAACTTGTCGTGGTAGGGAAAGTTTTTCAAACAAGATTCAGCAAGTTTTACGCATTTAATAAATAGAGAAAAAGGGCAAATAAGGCCACGTACTAACAAAAAAAGGTCAAATAAGACCTTATTTAAGAGGCTTTGTCCGACCATCGCCATTTGAGGTGGTTCCCGGTGGATTTTTTTGATGAAATTTTTTGAGCATCTTATTTAGTAAGTCTTGTTTACTCATATCAAATTTCAGCTAAAACTTCAATCGGGAAGGCATTCAAATGAATTCTTGAAGATAACTGCGCAAATGATGGATAGTGTACCTGGGGGACGGGGGTAGTTTATCTGAAGGATACCACGAGGGATATCTAGAGAGAAGTCAGAGCAATAAGTAAGAGAGAGAGTCAGATTGTATTAAATGAACTCGTTGTGTGTTACAGAGGAAAAAAGGGCGCTATTTATAGCAACCATAAGTGTTACTCGCATTTAATGCGAGTACACGTGTCAACTAATCAGCGGTGGATGGTCATTCCAGCCGCGCCGCGCCGACATTGCATGTGGCACCACATTTAATGTGGTAGTTGGACGTGACACCGCATTCAATGCGGTGGTTGCGTGTCTCCAACGGGGAATCTTTGCTGAGGGGTGACCCTTCGGCGTGATGGTCGAAGGCCTCCCTGTTGAAGGCTATATATTTGAGCTCGAATTCTCCAGCAGCAATGTTGGTCCACGAGTAGTTGTCCCCGTGAGTTTCAGGCCTTCAGCAAGGGTGCTGAAGGTACATATCAGGTATTATGGACATCATGGAACTCTGGCCGTCACATATGGGACTCCTGGGTCTGTTGGGCCTGTTTTGTGGTAGTAGGAGTATGTGGGCTTGGGCTGTTAGGCTGGGCCTAGCAGGCCGAATTACATAAAAGGGGACTAATGGGCTGCACACGAGCTAATATGTCCAGGGGTGTTATGAAGTGCTGAGGATATCATGGCCGAGGGGTGCCACGGGGTACTGCCGAGAGGTGCCGAGGGGTACCGCCGAGGTACCACTGAGGGGTGCTGTCGAGGCTTCCGCTGAATATCTGGCTTGCATGAGTATGTGGGCCAGGGGGGTCCTTGATCATATACTCCATCACTATATTTGTAATTTATACTCCCTCTGTCCCATTATATTCTTCCAACTTTCCTTTTTGGGTCGTCCCCAAAAATTCTTCCAACTTCCATTTTTGGAAAAATTGTTTGGTTCAAATTCATTCACCTTTTTCTTATACACTACAACCATACATTTCCACTTTATTCTCACTTCCTTAATTTGCGAACCAAATTTGACTTGGAATAATTTATTGGGACGGAGGGAGTAATTATGTGCACAATGAACATTTAAACACATTAGAGAATGCAAACGAGCTTTTGAATTTTTCGATACTCATTTTGTAAGTTATGTATGTTCATCTTATACCGGTTTTATGCTCATTTTAAAATGTCATATTAATGCATACTTCAAAAGTATCATATTAGATTCGCATGAGAGCAGATATCATGATACACAATTGCATGTTTCTGATACTCAATAGAATATGTTTGATGTTCAATGAAAATGTCTTGATGCTCAACTAACAAAACTTATGATTTCATATCATTGCTCATTTCGTAAGTTATGTATGCGCATTTGACACTGGTGTTATGCTCATTTTAAAATATATCATTGCATACTTCAGAGATACCATATTACATATGATTTACGTAGGAGTTGATTATGGATACTAGAGCACAGACAATGATACTCAATTGCATATTTGTAATACTCAATATAGAATAGGTTTAATGCTCGGTGCAAATACCTTGATGCTCAACTAAAAACTTTTGATTTTCATATCAATACGCATTTTGTAAGTTACGTATGCTCATCTGGTCATGATCTTATGTTCATTTTCTAAATGTCATATCAATGCATTTCTTAAAAGTGCTATTTGACATTAGATTCACATATTGAAATTCATAGGAGTTCATAATAAATATAATTCAATAAGTTTTTTATAAAAGAAAAAATAACAAAAAAAGCGAATTAGAAGTTATGAAGCAGAGATCATGATTCTGGATATTAGATTCCTAATACTCAACATAATAGGTCTGATGCTCATTAAAAGTTCATTAATTCTCATTCACCAGAAACCATGATTTTCATCTCAATAACGGAGGTTTGATGTTCAATTAAAATGTCGTGATGTTCAATTAACAAATCTTCAATTTTCATATCAATTTTCACTTTGTAAGTTATGTATGCTCATTGGGTATAGATGTTATGCTCATATTTCAAATGTCATATTTCAAAAGTATCATATTGCATTGACTCACAAAATTGAAATTACTAGAAGTGAATTATAGATATAATTTAATAAGTTTTTATAAAAGAAAAAAATAAGAAAAAGAAAAAGAATTAGAAGATATAAAACAGATATTGTGATACTCATTATTAGCCCCCTAATACTCAATACAATATATTAGATGCTCACTAAAAGCACACTATTGCTCACTAAAAGGACATTATTGCATACTATTAATCTTGATTTTTCGCTTAAATTACAAAAATGTCACCGTTTTTTTTTGTAGCCTGAACTAGTTATTGGGTTGTCTTTCTTAGTTGGGCCAGATGTATGATATAGGCACTCCTCCTGCTCCCCAGTCCCCACCAGCTTTGTTTTCCGCGCAAACCCTCCACGAGAGTCTAGAACAATCACCAATTCGTTTTGGCTTTTCTGCTCAAGCCGAGGCAGGCGACGCAGAAAGATCGCCGTGGATCAGCAGCCGATACCAAGGTTTGTTTTGAACCTCCGTTTTTTTTTTTTTAATTTTTTCTGACTTTCTTTACTCTCAATCTATTTGTTTTTATTGAGAGCCTTAAATTACGTCTAAAGGGGTTTTACCTGACGATGCAGCCTAAAAATTTATTCTACCACGTCTTCTAAGCGAAACTATCATGATCGAGACTCAAGTATATCTCTATTCTAGAATTCTAGAAAGATTGTATCTTTGTTCTGTTACATCACACTAAAGACCATTTCCATTCTATTACAAACCTAGGGTGAAAGGAGTCCAACTGTCAAAACAGCAAATTTGGCACACAAAGAGTCAAAGAGATATAAGGTGTGCAGAGAGCAAGGGTCAACTTATTACTTATTACTTATGTAGCTACAAAGGAAAGGATACTGTTTTTTTGGAAGAAGCCACTAAGAAGGTGTCTTATATTGATAAGAATGAATGTAAGCAGGATACAATCAGACAAAGAGCCTCATGTCTACCGTCTGCTCTTGAACCAGACTTAGAATCTGCCACCTCCAAAGGAGCATCCCGAATTGGGCATACAGTGCATACCTGAGCTAATGACTGACAAACTAGGCTCCTCATCACCTGTCCTATGTGCTAGAGTCTTAACTAGGCTCCTCATCACCTGTCCTATGTGCTAGAGTCTTAACAAAAATGAAAACGAACGCAAATAAGAAAAAATCAATGTCCAAAAGGAAAACTAACAGAAATGAAAATAAGTCTGAAATCAAAGATAACTCCAATCTGCCAGCGGCACACGATCATCACAGGTTTAGGCAGGTCTGAGTATTCCAGCCCGCCTCTTTCCTGTTTTTTGATCCATCCAGAGCCATCCCCTTGTACTGTACCATCAATTTGTCCACTGTTCCGGCCTTCGCAGGCGCTGAACGATCCTCGCCCAGCCCCATTCCCTCGACCTGGTTCCTTCCGATCATGAGTGAGGAAGTGCCGCTGCTACCCTGTTCTGTCCGCTGCGACATCCGCCCTGCCAAGATCGAGTGCAGAGCCTGTTTCCTGCCTCCGTTCCTGAAATCGTCTCTCTCCATCCTTCGATCCGCACGAGAACGGCGGAAGTCTCAAAACCCTACGAGAGGGAAGGCCGTGTTTACTTTTGTGTTGAGTCCCCGTGAAATCATCTCAATAGCTTTTACGAACATAAACTCATTGATTTTTAGATATAACCCATTATTTTCTAGACATTAAAAGTAAAAAATAAAATTGAAACAAGGATTCAGAAAATCTGAGTCATTTGCTAAGTTTACTTGATTAAGATATACTACGTATGCTATTTACAAATAACATATCATAAGACAGACTGACTATACAGGGTTGGGATAATGATATAATGAGAGTGTAGTGGAACTAAACTTGAAAAATAAGTATAACTTAATCCATGGTAGGAGTTTCACCTTCTCGTACCAACATTCTAGAATGCAGAGCCAATAATCCAATATTATTATTAAAAGTTCATTTCTAACTAATTCAAAATTCACCCTCTTTAAATTAATTTAGACTGGTTTCATTTTATCAGTCATATACTAGTATACTACCTTCCTCTCACTGAACTGTTACAACTTATGTGATTTGTTTATTCCAAAAAAGTTGTTCACTTTCTTTTCAAAGTAACTTGTTTGTGGTTGATTTTATTTTTCTTAAATCTAGAAAAACATTTCAAAACATTTTTTCCTTTTTATTCCATTGAAGGACGCACGATTTAAATTTTTGAACAAATGAAAAGTGGTGTGCAAGGTTAATAAACTGCTAATAGCGATTGTTTTAGTGAACTGATTTATAATAAATTGTTGATAATAATAAACTATCAGATATAACTGATATATAATTAGCTATAAACTGTTAATAGTATTTTTAATAATTTTTAATAAATAAATAAATAAAGTGTTGATAGTGATTTTTAAACAATCAATAGTAATTGTTTTATAAAGTGCTACATAATAAACTATCATATGTAGCCCTTATAAAATAAACTATCGTAATACATGGTTAATACTATTTATATTAAGTAAAAATTTGAAAAACCCGATTGTACAAACCATCTTTATTATTATTTAAATTTGATAAACAATCTAATTTGGTTTAGGGTTTAGGGCAGATTGTTATATGGTTATATATTGAAATAATTTAAACTATTGATAAATTTGAAAATTAATATAAAAAGAGAAGAAAGAGGAAAAGGAAACTAAAACTGAACAACATACCTGCCACACTGGAAGAGAGGATAGGAAGAATAGGGAGGAGCAGAAGATAACAGAAGCGTAGGGAGAGGCGGAAGAATAAAGGGGGGGAATTAGAATTTTTGAATCGCTAGGACTGATAGCCAACACCTGTCCCAGAAGCTCCAAAGGTGCACGCTTCCTAGAAGTGCAAAAAGCGGCAAAAAGCACAGAAAGTGCGCGCCGATGAGTGTCTACTGTGCTTGGGACTCTACGAAGCGATTATCCCATCGCTTAGCCGCGCCTTGTGCTTTGGCGCACTTTTTTAAAGTTTTAAACCAGGGGGAGGGTGAGGATACCCTTCTTCTAATTTGAGAGCAGTAAATTTAGAAAAAAAGAGCCTTAGAAGGAATTATAATTAAAATAACTTGTAAGATATGACGAATTGAGCTTGAATGGTCATTTACTGCTATTCATTTTAAATTGAGCTTGAATGATCATTTAGTTAGTTATCCATTGAAACCCCTCATTGTGGGGGAACTTAAAAATTGAGCATTTGAGGGGTGTCGGAGGGTCACAAAAACCTTTCAAAACCATTCCTCCACATTTTTTAAACCCCCAAACACAAATAGGAGGGTCATCAACCCTCACATGTTTTCCCTTCCTCTAAAAAACCGACTCCCAAACACAACCTTAGGGTTTTCCGTTGGATCACTATTGGTGATGACTGATGTCGGTCGAAAGACTGCTTGTCTGAGGAAAAACATGTAACTGATATGTTAATAATATGTCACTTGAACTAGGGTTGGTGTGTTTCAGTATTTTGGAGGGAAAATAAAAATAAAAAAGAGCTCCAAGCCCAATAACTTGAATAAAATCAGCCCAACAAGGGCGCCTTCCTGCCTTTAAAGATAGAGGGTTAAACCTAAGTGGTTTGCACTCTGCAGGGGTGGATTATGTGCACTTTGAAAATCATCTGCAATGTAAAATATAATAAAGTCTCAATATCATTAAATCGACACAACACAACAACACCATCCAAGCCTTATTCCCAAAAGATACCTAATCTTTACGCTGGGCATGGAAGAAATTAGACCAATTTTGATACTTGTTTAAGAAGGCCATCATAATTTCTTTGAAGTGTGTGAAGCGCGCTGCCGTACTTTTGAAAACATTAGTTGATTTTAACAAACAATTAATGGTATTGCAAGATAAAGAAAGAGAGTAAATAGCAATGTGAGTCTGACTCATACAGGTTTTGGCTACAACTACTCTAGTACACGAAAGCGCCTCCTTCAAGATATCAAAATCCACTTTCCTTTGGTCTCATTAAAATCAAGCAAAAACACTTCAAAATTACTAGTACCGGTCAGTCATTAGTATGAAAACAATAACAAACAACATTCAAACCTTATTCACAAAAGATTTTGGGGTTGGCTAACATGAATCAATGCATGATATCAGAGGCAAAAAGAAATGAAAGCTAGAAAAGATAAAAAGATAAGATATGATAAAAAAGATACAATAAAGATAAATACAAAAATAAGAGAGAAAAAAATGAGAAGATAAAAAGATAAAAAGAATATATATACAATAAAAGAATAAAGAACATAAGAAAGACAAAAAGATAAAAGAATTAAAAAAGTGAAAAGAGATCAATCCTCCACACAAATATTGGTCTTCCACTTTTGTCTCTCTAAAGTCATACTATCATCCAACCCAAGAAGATGCATATCACTCTTGACTCCTCTAATCCATGCCTATGTGGGTCTTCCTCTCCCTTCTTCTTTGCCTCTTGTCCACACCTCTCAACTCATCTAATAGGTGCATGAGTGCATTACTTGATCTTTTACACACATGACCATATTACTGCGAATCTGCGATCGAGACTCTACATCTTATCTTCAACATGCGCATCTCTGCCACACTCATCTTTTGAATGTGAAATTGTTTCACCGACTCATTATTTTGTGGCATGGAAATATGATGGAATAAAGCAAAATGGCTCACTAAACTGTCTGCGCCCTTTTGTTTCTTTGTTAAGAAGCAACGGTCAGTCCATGCAATTTTCAATGTGATTTTAACTATGGGTCATCTGGAAACAATCTCTTTGTGCTTTAGTACAGGGGTAAGGCTGCGTACATCCGACCCCCCTTACCTCACCGTAGGTGGGAGCCTTTGCGGCACTGATAATGATCACGATGATGATGAATGACAGTCTTAGGCTTGTATTTTTTAGTATTTACTTATGCATTCACACATGTGAGTCCCGTTGGCAACTTGATTAATTATGTACGATGGTTTCTTATTTGGGTGTATATTTACTCCCTTCGTCCCATTCTAGAAGATACACTTTCTTTTTGTTTTATTATCTCATTTCTTAAAAAGTCTTTTCTAGTATACCCACGCATCCAACACTCATCATTACTCTGTATATGATTGGATTTGCTCCAATATGCATCTGGCAAAGAGCATAAATTTTACTTGGGGGAAAATTGTTGTGCTTAGATTATTGAGGCACTAAGAGACTGAGTGAAAAAAGACATGTAGAGGTGAGCAAAAATCCTGATCCTAGTGTCCCATTCCGAAATATCATTGAACTGTTTTGATATTGTCTTGTTCCATTTAGGACTGGGTCTTTTTATTTCGTACCAGTTTAAAATGGGTCAGGACTGGGATATCAGAAGGTTGTCATGATCTGGCCCGTTGTCTCTTTTGTATTATTATAGAATTTTCATTTAACTAATTTGTTGGGTAAGTTCAAAAAATAAATAATATGAGTAGTACTCTTTTAGTTTTTCAAGTCCAAATCCTCAATTGAAAAAATAATACCTAACATTGATACCAACTAGTCTAGGCTTATCTTTCAATTTATATACTTGTATATGAGTTTTTCACGACTAGATCACACTTTTTTCAATTAATGATTTTATTGTATTTTTTTTTTTAATTTTTGTTGTTGTATGATTGCTTTTTTTGCTGAAATTAATTAAAATTTAACAGCTTTTAGTTTTTTAAATAGATAGCTTGTTATTAACATTTATTGACTTGAAATTGTTAATTTTTTGGTGCATACATACTGTGGAAATGCGAACGTTTATTTTACTAAAATAGATTTTGTTGTTCAATTTTTTATGTTAGATTGGAATGTCTCAAACCGTCCCGAATTGTCCTTCTCCCAATCTATATGAGACAAGATTAGGATAAAGTCTTGTGCTGAACCATCCCAAACCATTATTACTAACGAAGTTAGGACCGGAATAACTCTAATCCAGAACCTTGCCCACCCCTAAAGACATGTATGGGTGTTGTGCTCTTATGTTAACATATAGCTGTATTTATAGTAAAACGTTTTGTTGGGGTGAATTTCAAACTGTGTGCCTGATTTCTTGACTTCATATTCTCCTCCTCCTGTAGTTATGTGTCTTACAAAGTACCATTAAAAATAATCTTTTAATCGTTTGTGTTTTGGTATCCATACAAGTTAGGACACAAGAGAGAAGAAAATAGAGAATTGATGGTTCAAAACATAAATCAATTGCCTGATGAAGTTATATGCTTCATATTATCGCGGTTAACTGTTGGAGATGCTGTAAGCGCCAGGTTATCATCAGTAAACTGGCTATGTCTTCCTGATTCTCGTTCTGTTCTTCAGTTTGATAGACTTAACATATTTGGAGAGCAATCTTCATGCAAACACGGGCCATCTGAATTTGTAAAAATAGTTAATCGCTTTCTGGATGTATGGATGGGTCAGAGAATACACACTCTTATTGTTGACTTCACTCTTACCGATGATCATGCTGCACATATTGATAGGTGGATTGCAACTGCTATAAGAATGAATGCTGAGGAAATTGAACTGGATTGCCATTGCGATGGCAAAGAAAAATATGTTTTCCCTTTTCATATGATCTGCTCTCGAATGGCGCCTTATTTGAAGCGGTTATGCCTAAAATTATGCACTCTAAATATTTCTTTTATGTGGTCAAGTAATTTATTAACCACTCTTAGCTTGAGTCAAGTGCCCCTCAACCAGAGTGGGATGGAGTGCATCCTTGCTAGTTGTTCGAGTCTTGAATCACTGTCGTTGTTTTATTGCAAGCTGCCAAAAACTGTTTGCATAAATGGTCAACTTGAATGTTTGAAGGAATTGATTATATGGGACTCCTTGGATAAGATAGAGCTCAAATGTCCGAAACTTGAGTTCTATGAATATTATGGCAGCAATTGTTTACTTGCCTTTGCATATGTCCCAGTTTTGAGAGAAGCAAAACTACATTTGAGATACAAACGGCGATTCTCCGAGTTGTTAGATCAACTCACTAGGAATGCCCCACAACTTCAAGTTTTATCACTTTCGGTAATGATTGAGGTTAGTGAACGGAGATATATTCTCAGACACATCCTGTTGTCTGAAAGGGATATATGTCTCTTAACTTGTTTTCATGATGTGCAGGTACAACCATCGCTTGCAACATTAGCTATGACTAATCTAAAGAAGCTGGATCTGCTGGTTCTAGTTAGAGTTGGATTTGATTACTTAACCATCACTCATGTGTTTAATTCTTGTCCAATGCTTGAGATGATAACATTACAGGTTAGTTGCTATAATACATCCGTTCCTTTTTAGTTAGCCATCTTTGACATTTCCGGTCAAAGATGGTGATCTTTGATCAATCATTTTAACTAATGTCTTTATGTGAAACATAATAATTTTATACTTTTATGATAGCATTTTCAAAAATGCTAAATTTTGGGGTACCACTTTTTTACCCCACCCTAATGTGTGGCCACAAATGGGGCAACACATTTAACAAAGAACATTTTCATATCATTTTCATATTATAAATTTATTTTCCGTATATAAATATTTTTATTAGTCAAAATGTGATATCATTGATTTGAAAAGTCAAAGATGTGTAAAAGTTTTTCTCAAAACCCTGTGACATTTGTTAAGAGTGCACAGGGATGTTTGGTTCGTTAAAGGTTCATTAAATATCAAATATCAAAGTTATTTAAGTAATAATTTTACTTGGTGTAAATGTGTAATGATTTTTAAAGTAATAAAGTTATTCAAGTAATAATTTTATTTAAACTACAACGTTTTTAATTAAACTATAAAACTCTAATGATTCTAATCAAGTTAATAAATTGTTAAGGTAACTGATAATTTTAAACGATAATCTTAAAGTGTAAAGTGTAAACTAATAAATAATAAATCTAAATGGTAACTTTAATTGTCAGGTTGGAATTGTAAGACTAGTAAGGCGGTGGTAAAATTTAAAAAGTTAAATGATTCATTTTGAATTAAAAAATTTAAAAAGTTGGAGTTTTAAATAAATAAAAATTAAAAATTTAAAACACAATGAAGAAAACTAAAGAAGTAAGGTGGTGGTAAAATTTATCAGGACAGAGCAGGGGAAGTCTCTGCCTTGGAATGTTATCTTAAAAATCCCTAGCTTCTCAGGGTCTGTTTGCAACAGCTTCTGCTTTTAAAAAATGTTTTTTTAATGAAATGGGGAGAAGTGATTAAATAAAAGTTGATAGTGTTTGAGAAAAAGGTGACTTTGAAAAGTAAAAGTGGGTAGTGTTTTTTAAAAGCCAAAAGCTGAGAAGTGCTTTTTTAAAAGCAGTTGCAAACCAACCCTCAGTCTCATCTATTGAGAGAGCAGCGGTTGAGGTCTCTGGTCATAAATGTTGAAGATGACGAAGCGAGACCTACTTTTGTCGACTAAGTGAAGAAAGACAATCAATTGTTTACTAACAGCCTCAGGTATTTAGATTTTAGGGGGAAATTAAAAAAATGAGACCCATACTTTTAAAAAGTCAGCCTGGCATGGAATTTGAGGCTTACGCATTGTCAACGCCTCTGCACCCACTCGTTCGCCACTATGCTTCCGTGACTCAACAAAATGGAGGTGTAAGCCTCAAAACTGGCAGGTAAGGCTTAAGCCTTATAAGCGTTTCAAGGACGCCTTTGCGCTTCAAAGGCAGATGCACTGAACGCCCTTGAAAACCGTGCATAGCGCATTGCGTAAGCCTCATTGCGCAATTAGTAATAATACTTGCTGAGTATTATTTCCAATTATACATATAAAAAGTTATAAATAATAATAGAGGATTTTCCTAAAATATTACTAATAAAAAGTCAAATAAAAATGTGACATATGGTAATTATTAGTGAATATAATTATGCTCAAAGTTTACATTATGCTCAAAGTTTACATCAATAGTGACTACATGTAGTCACTGTTGATGTAAACTTTGAAAAACAATTATAGTCATTAATAGTTATCAAATCACATTTTTTATCCACCAATTTTTCAGGAATAATTTTAGTGGAATTTTTTCATAATAAAATATAAATATTCATCAAAAGCAACAATTTCATAAATGTACTACCTCCGTCCCTGAGAGATCTTCCAATTGCGGTTTACGATGTTTGGCCAGCGATAAAGTTAAATGATCCATGTCAAAACTCCGCTACAAAACTTGCAAAAAAATAATTCAAATTTCATGAAATATTTTGATATACTACCTCCGTAACAGATGTATCTTCCCATTTGAAAATAGGTGAGAATAAGAATAGTGAAAGTAAATATAAAATTGAGGGTATGATGAGAAGATAATGAAACAGTGTGCTGTGTGCTGGAATGAAGGGTAAATCCAAAAAAAGTAGTTGTAATAGTGTATTATGTTTACAATTATTGAGGGTATAATGAGAAGATTTAGAAATGAGAAGATATGAATGTTACGGGTAAAACAGGAAAGTGAGAAGATACGAGTGTTACGGAGGGAGTATAAAGTATAAGAGTAAGAGTGATTTAAGTTGACCAATGGAGTGAGTTTGAGCCCTCATTACTCTAGGCCCCCCAATTGACCAATTGAGGAAGCGGTGCAACCCAGTTGGTCACAGACCCACTCTCCCTTACGAGAGGTCCCGGGTTCTAAACATAATGGAGTGAGTTTCAGCCCTTTATACTCCTGGGCCCCAGCCTCCCCCATACGCCCCCTGGAGTTAAAAAAAAAGTTGACCAAGTGGATAGTGGAATGAAAGATCTTTCAAGGACGGAGGGAGTATTTTATCTTTATATCCACAAACAGTAACATATATATATTCTTCTCACTCACAATGATAAACCAATATATGTAAACATTATGGAGTATGTTAAAGTGGAGTATAATCTACATAAACACATTTATATCCATAGATATGTGTGTGTAACTGTACACATTTTAACAAGGGAATAAATATTACTGTATGTAATTGCTACCCAGCCAAGAATATCTTTGTTTACATAGACATCAACATATAATAGTGCCAAAGACATGATTATACAACATATAAGTAGTACTCCCTCCGTCCCCTTTTAAATGTCCCGTTTTACCATATTGGGATGTCCCTATTTAATTGTCTCTTACCTTATTTGGTAAAGTTTGTGTGGCTCAAAATCATTCTTACTTTATCAATTAATATCAACCACACAAACCCACTTTTCTTAAAACTAGTACCACCCTCTTCCGTCCCAATATAAAAGGGACGGAGGTAGTACTTAGTAAGTTATATCATGACTGTAAAAATAAAAAATGAGTATATCAGTATACCATGCTCATGTCCTTGGAAAAGAAGAGAGAAGAGAGGCTGAAAAGAAAAATACCTTGCAGACTTGAGAATAGATTAAAGAAAAGCTGAGAGAGCTGAATAGCTGATGAGGAGATTTGTGCATAGCAGAATCGATGACTTATTTACATAATATTGGGTTGTATAAAAATCGGGCCCAATTATTATTGGCCTGGATTACTTGTGCATATTTTTCTGAGAACAATTATTGTGTTTGCCTTCTGCGCCTCAGAACGTATGCCCCAATGTGTATACCATACCCACACAAAGCGTACGCCTTGCTATTACATGAAATGAAATTGGATATGCAATTAATCGCAAATCCTCCAAAAATCTGGAACAATGGTTGGAGGTTACTACCTTGGGCTTCTTGCCTATACATATACTACGTATTATCTTAGCAATCTTTTGATATACTATCCTACATGGCTACATTCCATGAATCATACGTCCCGTTATAACTTCAGTAGTGTTTATATTTCTAAAACGTTTTACCCTTCTTAATTAGCAACCCAGAGATTACCAAAGACTAAGATGGCACTTGCCAATATGTATATATGCTTATATCGGATGTCTCTTTTTAGGACTTCAGTCGTCGTTTATATATATATATATATATATATATATTTTGCTTATGTTGGATGATGATAGTTGAAAAGGCGCACAGACCCTTGTCGTCGCGAACAAAGAGAATACCATGACCACCCGCTCATCAAGTTGAAACAAGTCAAAATGGGTGGATACTGTGACCAATCAAATGAGCTGGAACTTTTGATTTATCTGCTAAAAAATGCAGTGTCACTTGAGGAGATGGTCGTTGAAGCTCTAACAGAGCGTGCAAAAGAAAAGGCAAGGACAACCCTCCTACTCCCGCCTGAGAAGAAGATTAACCCAAGTGCACAAGTGGTCATTATGTGATACATCAAGACAACAATTATATATGTTGACAACAGTCTACGTATTTAACTTATTAAAGATAACACCCAAGGTTTTGGTTTTAATCCAAGCTCGTTTATTTAAATAATCAAACATATTATTATGAAGTTTTGGGCATTGCTTTATTAATAACATTCCTAGTGTGCTAATTGGCCTTGTTGGTTCACTTTACATAGCGAGCAAAATCAACTTTGCTAAAACTATATCATTCAGAAAATGATTCAATCTGGAAAACACAGTTACCTCAAACCGAACAATAATGTGTTGTAGTTACCTTGTGACATTGCTATGGGAGTAGATCAACTAGTAAGAAGAGGATGTTACAAGGGGAAAGTCTTGAATTTGAATCTGTTGTGGAGTAAATTTTATCATTAGTGTAATTCAAAATGGCCCATACTCCATTTTTATCAACACAATTTAGTAATATTATTACGGAGTAAATTTTATCATAATGGTTAGCTGACTATATGATGATGGTTTGGAACACCGTGATTCATAATGGTTAGCTGACTATATGATGATGGTTTGGAACACCGTGATTTAGTGAGTTAGTTATATTAATCGGTATCATTTCAGTTAGTTAATAAGTTTCTTCTATGAATAATTTGAGTTATTATTTATCTACGTTTTACTTGTGGCAAATAACGTTGTTTGGTAAGCGCCAATAAACTTTAAATGAAAGAATAAAAAATATTCTGTATTTAATCCGTTCAATTTTAGAGAGTATATAATATATCTAGCTCGGGCTGAAATGTTATACTTTAATGATGATTAGTGATCAATCTTGGCCTGATTAGATTCAGATCAGGGGCTCTGGTTTTCTTGGTTTTGAGCATTATTGCGTTTCATACTCTGATTCTTAAGTGAATCAAATTAGTACCATAATTATATATAAATATGGAAAATTGTTAAATAGGTAATCGAACTTTCAAAAAAAGGTCAAATAACAAATGTTTGAGCATCTTATTGAATCAAAATGTTTGATTATATAGGAGGCTCCGTCCGGCCGTCGCGATTTGAGGTGGTTCCCGGTGGAATTTTTTGATGAAAATGTTTGATCATCTTATTCATCAAGTCTAGTTTACAAATAACAAATTTCAGCTAAAACTTCAATTGAGAACGCATTCGAATTAATTCTTGAAGATAACTGTGCAATTATCTTCAATAATTAATTTGAATGCGTTCCCGATTGAAGTTTTAGCTGACATTTGGTACAAGTAAATTAGACTTGATGAATAAGATGCTAAAAAAATTTCATCAACAAATTCCACCGGGAACCGCCCCAAATCGCGAAGGCCGGACAGAGCCTCCAATATAAGGACTTATCTGACCTTTTTATGAAAGTTCGAGAATCTATTTGATAGTTTTCCAAATATAAATATTTCAATTAGTGATGGACCGGTTCCGGGCCGCCCGGCCAGAGGGTTAAGTTGGGAGGCCTCGGGTCACCCAAATTAGAAACCGGCCAGGCCGGGCTAGCTTCAGGCTTTTTTAAATTTGTTTTTTCCAATTTTTTTTTCACGGGTTGGGCTGGGTGTTTTGGGGTAGTTTGGGGGGGGGGGGGGTCGGGAGGGGGGGGATCGGGGGTTAATTAGAAAAGCAAAAGAAAAGGAATCGGCCTGAGGCCTGACCCAGACCCGGTGGATAATCGGGCCAGTTCCAGGCCTCAATTATCTCCCAAAAAGCCCGGTCAGGCCCGAGGCCCGGTCCATGCCTAATTTCAATTGACAATATTGTTCAAATTTGAGGCCAAAAAACTAGCGTGACGGTCAAAATTCCATGTGTAAAGTCCACCCAACGATGATGATATTAGCGATGGACCCGGGCCGGGCTGGTTGTAATGCCCCTCTCAGGGTTAAAGGAAACGTTACAATAATTTACTACTTTTAAAAATAACTGCAATATAATGACCATCTATTTAAGAAAATAACCCTGATAAAATCTCAAATGTAACTAGAATATAGCTAGCTCCAAATAAAAACTCAACAAAATCTAGTTATCACCTGAAAATATGATAACCACCTAGATCTAGGAATTTAATCAAACTTAAATCCTCAAATAAAATAAAGTAATAACAATCTCTTAACTATAAGAACTGAAATACTGAAATATAATAATAGCTAGCTGGAAGCCGCCAAGGTCGTCCCCATTAACTCATCTTGGCACGCGTTCCACTCTCTCATCACCTTCCTAGGCCTTGGCCTTACCTTTAGTATATGTACATGCGAAGAAAGAAACTGATAAGCTTTACGCTTAGTAAGTCACTATGGATCCACAAAAATATCTAGAAGTCTATGCCAATTTATCAATAGATAAATTTAGGCTATAAGCATGCACTGAACAAATAACTAACACATAACTTCTCAAATACATTCTGAGGGAGATCTCAAAGGAAAAATATTTTCTAAAATATTTTCTCAAAACTGCTAGAGATCTCAAAACTTATTTCTGAAAAACACCTCTGTAAAACTCTGAAAGAGATCTCATAAACTTTATGTAAAACTCTTTGTGGCTAATTTTAACTATGGGCCCGTGATATGTACTCAAAGGCGCCAATCCGACAGCCCAGGGGAGCGACCCACTAAACATATCGAACTATCTAAAACTGAAAACTGCTAATCTGAGGGAACTTGTTCCCGAGTACATATCACCTTATCTTTCACTTTAAATATTAGTTCTTTTTATGGTGACGTTTGATTAAAAATAAACATCATTAAATCTGAAACAAAAGTATTGACAAATCTTGACTATGCCAGATAATAAACATAACTTAATTCAGCAAATAAAATAACTCATCACATAATTCATCTAGTTCACATAATAGCAAATAGTCTAAAATTATCCATTAAAAATCAACCAGACTTCTTTCTTTTATTTGGTTGAACAAACATGTACAGGTGGTAGTGAACTTACCTGTTAACCGCTGAACTCAAACTACTCAAACAAGTGTGGCACCTTGATAACGCCTTCCAGTAAGCTCTTCCTTAACACTCTTTAATTAATGTATGAAATTGAAATCAGACAAATTTGCCTTTTTAACCATTACCCAAAATACTCTGTAACTGATATACTAAAAATAAATAGGTCCACTGGCTTCGAACTAGACGCAGTAGCCAAACTGAGAACTTTTATTTGAAATTCGTTCTCAAAGGTCTGAAGTAAAAAGTTAGGTACAGGACTGCTCTTGAAATAAGTTTTTTTTTTTTTTGGCACCACATAAAGTTACTGCCAGTTCACTAAAGGAAATCAGCCTACGAACTAATTTGACACATCTTACCATCTTCTCCAAAATAAACTTAGTACAGACCCGTAGAGAGGAACTCAAAAACACTCCCTATAATAAAATTTGATCCAGACTAAAATTACTAATCAATAGAGCCACTCCTTAGGAGAATAAAACCCTCTACCATATTAAGAAAGCAGTTCGAAGACTTATATGACACCACTCGACTGCAGCAAGGATTTTACTTTTTTTTTTTTTTAATTTTACACCAAGAGGTAAAACGATTAAACTCAGACTAGTAGGATTTCAATACAGAAAGAAACCAGAATCTGAAGCTAAAGACGCAGCAGCTTACTCCAAGAAAATTAGAACAGAATTAACACACTTCTTATAGTTAAACTGAAAGTACTTCAAAATGGCAATACTTTGTATTAAAAGGAATCAAGCTATCTGAATCCAAAATTTTAAATCCACACTGAAAGCCAAAGCATAGAAAATTCTCCCAATTTGACCAAACAGAACCTACGCACTAAATTCTGATATAGAAAAAAAACAAAAGCTTTAACAATTCGTATAACACCAGCAATTAGGCTCATGGGGTTCTAGCCCACCTTGTCAAAATTTCAGCCTTTATAAAACATCAAACCCCTCTTTAAAAAAATTCTCCACTAGTAACACATAGCACTGCTTTGCCGAGAACTCATGGGAAAACAATTTAAAGCCATGAGTGTAGACTCAATAATCTATGAAGTAAGGAATGATTAATTTACCCATTCGAGGTTTTGGAAACCTTAAACAGACCAAAGAAACTAACCAAATCTTGCAGAAATTCATGCTTTCCAACAAGCCTAAAAGAATAAATAGAAATAGAGAGAACGAAAATTGACTTACCAGGTTTGAGATTTGATTCAGAACTAAGAAAACTCTTGATCGCAAGTTGACTCTTCTGGGGGAAAGGGACGCTGCTGATGGAAGGATAGAGACGCAGGGAAGGATAGAGAGGCAGGTCTGGTTTTTAATATAACGTATGACTGCTCCTTAAACATTTTTACCTGGGCTTAGTTAAATGAATTGGCCTTCTAATCATCTCTTAAAAAAATGTTTCTAACACATTAAACGTATTTTCTATTTCAAAATAAACTGATTAAGCTTTAAAACATTACTTATTTCTCCACTTAAAATTATTAGAGCTTACTGGTCAACGTTACCTACCAGAAAACACATGATCAAACCATAAATCGCATTATTCATAAAATAATCTTATTTAACTGACTAAATAAAATAATAGATTAAAGTAACTAGATCGCTAAAATCGGGTGTTACACTGGTTCCGGTTCGGGCCTGGGCCCGACCAGACTTTTATTTGGGAATGGTGGAACCGGAACCGGCCCGGGTAGCCGGCGGTTCCGGGCCGGGCCGGGCCGAGTCCAGTTCAATGTTATTTTTTTATTTTCTTTTGATTTTCTAAATAACCCCAACCCCCCCCCCCCCCCTTCACCCTCCAACCCCCCCAACCCCCCCAACCCCCCCAACCCCCCCCCCCCCAAAACACCCAGCCCAATCCGGTAGAAACAAAAACAAAATGAAAAAATAAATAAATAAATTTGGCTTGAACCGGGACCGAACCGTCCGGGCCGGTTTGCATTTCCGGGGGCCCGAGCCCGCACCAGGATTAGAGCGGTTCGGTTGGCCCGAACCAGCCCCAAGACCGGGTACCGGGCCGGGCCAGGCCCAAACAGTACCAGGCCGGTCCAGTTCCGGGCCGGTCGGCCTGACCCGAGACAACCCCTAGATGATATACACAAAAGTAAGGTGAAGTGGAGTTTGCGCATAGAATTATAGTCGTCATGTATGATTTTTGGTCGGAAATTTGAATATTGTTATCAATTGAAACATTTAGGATAGTTATGGTACTTATTTTATCCA